ATATATATATATACGTTTCGCAAAATTTTAATTTTTCCAGAAATTCCAGGTCTGATCGTTCCTGAATAGATTTTTAAATAAAATCTTTGCTTTGAAAACACACTTCATACTTTCATCTTGGAGTTCAATTTTGGGGCTTACTTTACGCCTCATCTACAATAGTCGCACACACAATATAAGAATATAAGCTGTATTAGGTGCGTTTGGTATTGCAAATTTGGTATTGCAAACGTCCGTTAGCTCTTTTATCTCGAAAATCGTTCGGCAACTCGCATCTTTCTGCTACATCTCATTTGCGTTCGATGTTAACATTTCTAGAGCCAATCGAGCTGCTCGATCCACTCCGGATTCCGAAGACCGAGCTCGCAGAGCTAATGCAGATTTTCGCGCCTAAATTAAATTTATAATCTGTATATTTATAATGCTATCAAATAGAAATTGATAGAGTACATTATGTACAATATATTTAATGAGGAAAGTAAGTTTTTAATTCTTTTCCTCTTTATAATATATTATAGACTCTAACGAATATAAATCAAGTGATATAATTTATAAATTGCAGAAGTTTATTTTGCAATGTAGTATTTTCTTTTAAGAAAACACACCTTGCATATGAGTCTGTTACATTCTTGTAACGATCTATTTTTAGTATATAAGACTATTATCAGTTTCTGATAAGGCGAAAGAAATTTTCAATTAATAGGGTATTTTTTATTTATTCATAAAAATAAACAATTTCATTTTATAATCTAATAACCTTAAAGGACAGTTTACAGCTCTGTAGCGTTCGAAATTAATTCTTGGCACTCGGATTGCTCGAAGATCACGTGATCAAGCTCGCCATCTGCTAGCTCGCATCTCAGATAAATGCACACAGACTCTTGCATAATGCATAACACATGATAAGAAAATAAATCAATCAAAGTGCTTTATTTCCTTCCTTTCCGTAAAATAAAGAACTCTGATTGATTGATTTTCTTATGCATTATGCAAAAGTCTGTGTTTTATGCGTTAAGAGTCTGTACTCCCCCGCTTTAAATTGCCGAATGCATTTATTTCATTCCCAAGGATGCGCAGCCGTCTTCAACATGGTGGCTGCTCTTTGACCAATCAAAAATGTCCTAAATTTAAGATAAGCATTTGATTGGTTATTCTAATTTAGAACAAATATTTGATTGGTTGTTTTAATTTAGTCTGCTGGCCATTATGCGCAATGAAATACCTTATATTCTTATACTATGGTCGCACAGTCTGTCTCGCAGGTCGCAAGCTTGTTGGGATAAGTCAATTTTAATATTGATGCATCAGAGCTTATGCGACTATTGTAGATAAGGCTTTATGAGCTTTAGGGCGCGTTCACACCTTGACGGAAAAACAGAAAGCGGAAAAGCAATGGCCAATTAAAACTCGCGCTAATAAGTAGTACAAAAAGCCGAAATTGTAGACTACCAGAGTTCTGATTGGCTGTTGCTTTTCTGTCAAGATGTGAACGCGCCCTAAAGCCCATAAGATCTCATTTACAATGGTCGCACAAGCTCTGATGCATCAATATTAAAATTGATTTGTCCCAACAAACTTGCGACCTGCGAGACAGACTGTGCGACCATAGTATAAGAATATAAGGTGTTTCATCAATATTTGTATGTTCTTTGACGATTCTTTCATTGTGTTGGAATATTCGGCACATTGGGAATACGAATCGAATTTTCGAATAAATATTTAGCTGGGTTATCACTTCCCTGTCGTAAAATGCATATTGCGTATGCTCTCTGTATCACGTTATCCTTGTTTAACATTTATCGGTAAACAAGGATAAAATCATATATTATGCGTTTTAAAGCGGGGAGCACAGATTCCTGCATAACACATAAGGCATATGAAATTCAATCTATTGGCCGCAGCATAGATTCTTGCATAACGCATAATGCATAGTGCATAAGAGAATTAATTAAAATCTTTCCTTTCCTCCCATTCCATGGAAAAGAAGTATTTCGATTGCTTGATTCCCTTTTGCACTATGCATTATGCAATGTGTTAGCAAGAGCTGCAGCTATATCAGTTTTTTATTTTATGGAAAAGAAGGAAACGAAGTACTTTGATTGGTTCATTTTTTTATGCTTTATGTGTTATGCAAAAGTCTGTGCTGCGGTCATGAGATTAAAGATTTAAGCGGGGAATACTGATTTTTACATAATGCATAACAAGAATAAGAAATCTAACCAATCAAAGTTCTTTATTTCATGGAAAGGAAAGAAACGAAGGACTTTGATTGGTATATTTTCTTATTACCCGTATTACCGACGAGATATTATTAAAGACCGTCAATCCTAGACAAATTTTTGGGCGGTATAAATAGGGTTCCAAGGGCTTGGAGGTAATTGAAGAACGCTGACATTATCGACAATTGATATAAATTTGCTATTATTAACTTAAATATTTGACTTATACATTATTAAATTCATGAATTTTTATTACATGTACAAATGTTCCATAAATAAATATGCATACTTATAAAGCTATAATATTCTATATATTGCAGAAAAATTACAATTTTTTTCTCTGCAATTATCATCTTTGTTGATTATCAAATTTTGACAATAACACTGAAATTACAATTTTAAAGAAAAATCGAGTATTATTGAGTTTTAAATGTATAAATACGTCTACTAAACTAATAAATCATAAAATTAATACAATATTATCAATTTTTAATTCTTAATTACTTTAATATTTATAAGAACGCGAACTCTCGTAAAGATGTCGGTCTTTAATAGTATCTTATCGGTGCCCGTATCAAGTGCATGTAAACTAGGCCAATAAGTTTTTCAATAAGCGCGCCATTTTCTTCCATTGTGATTCGTACTGTCATAGTGAAGGCAAACCAATCGAAAACACAGGCCGATGTCTAGACTCTGTTTTTCGAGGGAATCACTTTAGTGATGAATCTGTCTACAATCTGTACTAATTGTCTATGGCTATGCCTGAAGGCGATGCTCTCTGTGATTATGCAAAGAAACTCTTTATTTACTTTTCGTTAAAATCAGAATCTCGCGTGGGGATAAAGTCGAGGCAATTGTGTTCAGTGTTTCATAAGCACGGATATCGATACAGAGGAAAAGAAAAGAAAGACGAACTTGCGCAATTTTCACAAGTCCACTTTATCTTTGACGAGAGATGTCTGACAGTATGGAGAAAAGTGAAAGGTTAACTGCGAGGGAAATCGAGGAAGAGGAAATGAAACGTGAACTTACAGGTAATCAAATATGTTTACAGTGAGAATAATTGGAATATTAGAACGTGATACTATTAAAGATCATCAACACCAGGCAAATTTTTGTTTCCTTGCAAAAAAGAGAGTCCAGAAATAATTGAAGAACGTTGACATTATCGACAATTGATATAAATTTGTCATTATTTGTCATTATTAACATAAATATTTGACAATAATAAGATTTTATTAAGACATGAAATTAAATACTAAGTATAAGCATATTCGAGCCTATAATGGTCAAAGCTAGATCTTCTCAATGCCTAAATAATTCACAGTAAATTAAATGGATTAACTAGAATGCGAATTTTTGTAAGGATGTCTGTTTTTAATAGTATCTCGTCAGTGGTAATATTCATATATAAACATATAAATGTGTAACTATATATATATATATATATATATATATATATATATATATATATATA